CATCTATGTCCAGTGAGGAATTTGCAGGTGGCCGAAAAGACCTGCGCTTAAATGCCAACACACTGATGTGTCTGAAACATCACAGGACTATGCCACCAGTTAATCAACATCGTTAACCCACTTAAGTAATGCTTCCTAGACGAAATTACATTTTAGAAGTTGGGCTGACATTTACTGAGATCGCTCACTCAGACATACTCGGTTTTGTGTGTTAAATATTGACGTGCTCCGTATCCTTTGCTTATCAACATGATTAGATGGTGAAACGCAGATATTGTCCAAAGAATAATGCTTCGTCAATGAATCGAGGCAACTCGTTAGACTGCAATTCGTGCAGTGATTTTCCACCACGGAAGGCGGTTGCTATGGTTTCATTTGACCGGTTTAACTGATGGCATCACCAAGATGTATCGTAGAGAACTCTATTAGGCATATTCTCTTGGGTTGCCTTGCTGTTAATCCTCAGTCGGAGATTAGAGAGAGTATCGATGTAGACTACCGCACTGGGTGGAATTCGATGCCTGAAAGACTGAGCGGTTGGCCTTGAAGGACGTGTTGCATGACTAAATCACCTGGCTTGATAGACGCATACAGGGCCCGATTCTGACTGTCCTAATGGCAAATTGAGCGAAACCAGTAGTGGGATTCCGGAAAGTTGCCTGTCTCTCCTAAAAGTACGCCAGGGATGTAGTTTAATTATAGAATTACAAAATGACATGTAAAATCATGTAAAGACGATCTGTAACCAATAGGGATTTCAAGTCCGTTCACCAGTACTTCCCTTAATAGAACTGAAGGGTCAGAGTCAGGAAGACCAGAGGTGAGATCGGGCGCATCTTCGTGTGCCGAACACCTCTGCTCCGCACATGATGAAACAGACGGACGGTTATTCGATGCACGACCTACAATATCTCGACGCCTTTGCAGGAAACGAGTCTTCGTGTCTATTCCACTGAACAGACGCGTGTATGCATGGATCATACTTGTAGCCTAAGACATCCAGCGTGCTTTGCTGTAGAACCATTCTGCATGCAACAGCAGCAACAATCTGCCGATGTCCTGTAGGAATCATGTTAAGGAAAGACGCCCATGGGAAGCAGATACGACGACTACTAATCAAACAGTGATGGTGCACAATTGGAAGACGCCTGTTCATGCGCGAGGAGATAGTTGAAATTCATAGCTGTAAGAAGGCTTCGATGCTCGCCAGTTGCTCGTATTTGCAGATATAACTAACTACCATCTCGCTCACTCTCTCTCAAACACACGCAGAAGCTTCAATAGTACATGACTGGTCGATCTTCTGAATTGTTGACCTGAAAGATTAAATGTGTTCTCATCAAGTAGGGATGTGTTTGTTGGGGTTCTAATGCTGATTAGGGTGCGGCATGATCGAATGGTATTTCGAACACGCCAGGATGCTGACTTTTAAATGAACTTCTTTTCGGCTGACAACAAAATACCGCCCTCGGCAAACAATAACTAATTTTTATGAGCTTGAATTATTTCGATTGCTCCTCATTGCCTCTTCACATGCAAACGCATTTCAAATAAAGCATACAAAAACCTTCCCACACCCAGATACTCTCCATACCGGTCAGCAGGCTGGAGCGGGAAATAGGCGCGGTGGATGGCATGGTCGAGTGACCATGTCTGCGCGTGTCGCGCGCATGACCTGGCTCCCCAGACACACACATACACACACACCCACACCAGGATTTCACACGACGGATGTTGAGCGGCGTATCTCTCACTTGTGTGAGAGTGCCGAGCAATGTCTCCCAGGCCATCAGTCCGCCACTCCACACAAACACATACACACACACACACACACACACCGGGACGGACGGCGTGGACCGAGTCGGGGGCGTCAATCAGCAGCCTTTCTATACACGACGTTTAACGCGTCGGGATAGTCTCAGAATCGGGTCACTCGTGCAGCAGGAGCCGCACGGAGACCGAGTCGAGAAGCAAACTTCTCACTTTGCGTGTGAAGTGGCAGTTAGGGGCTTTCGGTGTGTGATGTACATTTGCGATGGTTAGATGATGATGATGATGACGATGATGATGATGATGATGATGATGATGATGATGATGATGATGATGATGATGATGATGATGATGATGATGATGATGATGATGATGATGATGATGATGATGATGATGATGATGATGATGATGATGATGATGATGATGATGATAAAGGGGGAATGTCATGCTGTGGTGCAGCGGCGGTTGTCTACCGCAGGTTTTTGTGGATGCGCATGTTTCCGAATAGGCCTCTACAGTGTATAAATGTGCGAGGGCAGATTGGACAGTGGAGTCGGGTGCGGTGGATGTGTGTTGGTGCTCCAGGCACTCGTTCGCCAGTCTCTGTGCGATTGATTC